ATCATAACATAAAAATTTGTATCATGTGGCAGTGCTACCGCTATATTTTTCTTAATATTGAGGTAGTATAGGACTTATTAAGGTGGTATATTATGACGCTGTTATTGAATTACACCCAAAATTCAGATTTATAAAAAAAATTGACAGGAAATTTTTGGTCTGGGAAGCCTGCTGCCAGGAAGAAAAATATTTTATCAAGTTTGTCACTGTCCAAATACTAAATTACCGTATTTACTCGTTTAAGCGCCGCGGCGCTCTTTAAATTTTCAGAGCTTCAGATGCGGCGCTCATTCGGGGGCGGCGGTCAATCGGGGGCGGCGCTCTTTAAAAATATTTTATTTGTGAATTATGACAAGAACTTTTAACTATAAAATAGACAAGTTTTAGAAGGTTTTTGTTACTAAATGTCCCCATTTTGACGGCTGAAAGTTTTTACACTGTTTAGTGCGGCGCTCATTCAGGGGCGGCGCTCTTTATAAAAAAATTGATCTCAAATGCGGCGCTCATTCGGGGGCGGCGCTCAATCGGGGGCGGCGCTCAAACGAGTAAATATGGTAATATATACTTGTGTTAAATGTATAGTGACTGCACGTGTTCCCCAGTGTGTATTAAAGTTTGTATCACACAACCAAGATGTAGGGCATGCAATTTTTATACTTTCTATATATTTAATATTAATTTTTTTTAAATCTTGGATCTGCAACTTCCAAACCCTCCATGCAGTGAGGTGTGTTCCCTTGGAAATATTTTCCTTGTTCTACTCAAAGATTTCACATTGTCACCCCCCAAGCCTATACATGCATTTGAACTCAAACCTTGGTCGGGGGCCGGGCATTTGAAATTAAGGATTTGGAGGTTTTAAGATCACCGATAACTTGATAATAAAATAAAACAGAACAATAAACAGAAAATATTCTCTTTATTTTCAGGTAGTTGGATAAGCTACTCTTCTTAGCCAAATAGTCCAGCTATCACTGGGGTGGGGGATTTGCTACTGATTTTTTGCCCCATTGCAGGACATTTTCACATGTTTTTTATCCCTGCCCCCGGGAATTTGTTGCATATTTTCAAAAATTGTCAAAAGCCCAGGGGTTGGCCCGGAAGGGGGGGAGGGGGGATGGGCACCCTTGGATCTGACAGATACATTAGTGAGGCAGCGATATCCAAGTTTGGTGTACCAGTATTGGCTTATCGGTACTAAAATAGAAATATCAGTATTGGTAATTTTATTGTTGGTATTACCGATATTACAAACTGTTTTAACGTTATTAAATATTAATAATTGGTTATTGTTGCAGTTCAATAGTTATTTTTATTACAAATAAACAGTCACTAGCATAGTAATATACTAGGTGTTGCATGCATTTGGAGCACTTCATTTGATATTTTCAGTATTTAGAAACAAATTAAATTAATTAAATTCAAAAGTATTAAAGTAGAACTGTCATAATGTCATCTTTGAATTTTGCAAAATGACATATAGAATATCGTATCGGTAAAATATCGGTCCTTCAATATCGGAATATTGGTGAATTTCCATATTGGTGCATCACTAGTTCCTGTGTTCCCATTGGCAAAATATACCTTAATTGTTCCTTAAAACCCCTCAGAGACCCTCCATATTTAGCATTTTGTTTAGAGATTTTTTTCAATGTTACGTAACACGCGCTCAAAACTAATGCGTATAATATATCACTTGAGGTTATGACTAAATTCAAAATATTTCTTTTTCGACACGTTTCTCAATCGGCAAACAAACTTAAAAAGTATGTCTAGTGCTTTATCTGTAAAATAATGCTAAAATGAAGAGATTTTAGATGACATGCCAAAAAGAAAATGATGTCTGAAGTTCAGTAAGTTTTGCTTATATGACTGTAAATATGGCGTCAATTTTAAAGCATCGTTGATAATTGTATTTTAATTGACAATTTTTAATTATTATTTTCAACCGCCAGATGCATTTAAAAAGGTATCTAACTCTATAAACTAGAGAATAAAGCTAAAACAAAGTAATTTTGAGAGGAACGCCAAAAAGATTTTAGGTTTTGAACACTTTTCATTGCAAATACGTGACATTGAAAAAAATTGCCTCTTAACATGGAATCATTGGAATGCAAGGTGGACTTGAATAACTTAGTTCTTGCATTTCACTTGGTGGCACCCTGCATTTCGCCCATCTCGGCACAATTATCAGAATGTTTGATCCAAAAACTATAATCTATCATCTATTGAAGTACAACCTATGATCTGCAATGTCACAAATTATTATACCTAAATATTCCAAATTCTTAAAACACATTAAATTAATTAGAAATATTTTGACTAGGTCATAGTGTCATACGGTCATACCTGCTCCAAATGCATTTTGAACATCCTTCAGACCTCTTTCAAAAACAACCAAGTCGTAAAACAATCCCAAAGGTTGTGGCTGCCCAGGTTTTAGTTCTATTGACTTCGAGGGGCCAAGAAGTCCCTTATTGATCGCTGTTTCTAGCGCCACTGAAGCTGTTGCCCCCGCCATTTAAATTTTTGAATTTCCATATAAACTAACATGAAGTTTCGGCGAACAGGCGAAGGAGTACAGTGCGGGCTCAGACAAAAAATTGCGCGCTCTCTGCTAAATTTCCCGCCAAATTTGTTGGCCCAAATTTATGTTTCGTTTTTTATTCGACTTTCCCAGTTGTTCACCGTAAAGTTTACCTTTTAAAAGAGTGTAAGACTGTAAGACATTAATAAACACGAAAATCAACAAGCGTTTCGTTATTGTTTTAGAGAGTAGAGACTTTAATTTTGTTCAGCGTTTTGATTGGTGACCATTGGTAGAACGAAGTTTCACATGTGATGAATGATTGAATTGTCGTATATTAAACTTGCATGTTAGACAAAATTTTGATCTATAAAGTAAAGACAGCTAAAAAGAACATAATAAACTAGTAAAATTGCAAAATTTGGTTGCGAAATGTTGTAAGGCCTTGTAAAGCTTGGAAAATATAGTCTTGCAAAGTTTGCAAATTTTGTATATGTTTGTATTACGTGCGGAAATTGTTACCATTTTCGGCTCAAAAGTACGCGCACGTACGTAATATAAACATATACAAATTTTGCAAACTTTGCAAGACCACATTCTCCGTATTTTACAGCATTGCAACCAAATTTTGCAATTTTACTAATTTTAATAACTTCTTTACGGGAATCTACTTTTTTTGCCTAGAACTAAAATTGTCTAACATGCAAGTTGTCCATTGTTTTCGCGCCTATAATTGTACACATGGCACCCTGTTTTACCATTGATATGTATCAATGGTCCATTGATACATATCAATGGTAAAACAGGGTGCCATGTGTACAATTATAGGCATTGGTTTTAGCGAAGTCGCTGAGGTGAGAGCTTTTATTGCAGTTTCCTTCAGTATAAACAAAGCGATTATATAAATTTATATAATGTTTGTGATGTTACTCTGCAAGGCATTTTTTAATACCATGGACTGGTGGGGCATTTGCCCTACTGGGCCCCTTCCTCTGCCCCACCACTGAAGAAAATAATGGCCTAGCCCTATTGCCCCAAAGCCAGGGCCCTAGGACTTGTATTGAGTAAATGAGTTTAACATTGAAAAGAGGTTTAAAAAAAACTAAATTTGTTTGGTGAGCATACTTAAACTCATGTTATGTTTGAATGTTTAGCATATAATTTATTACTTGGCAAGCTGAAAAGTTAGTTTGCCTGACCACGGTGGGAATTTAACCCGCGAATTTTGGGATACTAACTGAGCTATACGAGGTCAAGGAAACATCGTCAAGGCTAAAAATAATTAATTTTATAATTGAGATAAACCTCTTTGATTGGAATTCCAGCAAGAAAATGAAGAAATAAGTGGAAATGAATCTGTTTTGAGGCTAGATAGACCCTTGGCTTGCGTGTTCAGTGTTCGCCGTCAGTGTCAAATACTCTCAGTCGAAACGTCACGAATTCACTCCCGAGCAACGTCAAGTTTCGCACTTATCAACGACTTTTTAAGAAGTTACAATTACTGGGGCTTAGTCTCAATGAGGGCCTTTTCTCCACACCGTATACGGGTACATAAAAATCACTCTGTGCTCAGGGATAGCGCCAGCGCTATTTGAATATGGGGTGGGTGCGTGTGAAATATTGCCTAATAATTTCAAACGCTAATTAGTATTTCTTTTCATCCAACTGGGATTAGATAATTTGCCGACTACCTGACGATTGGGGGTGTTCCACACCCACTTTTAGCGCCGCCTCTGCCTGTGCTGACTTTTATAAGAGGGAATGTCGAGAATGTGAGAGGATATGAGAAAGCAGGCAGATGCAGCTTTTTTCAACAAGGTTAACCTTTTACTAATGATCAAAAGGGCCCAGCTCATCTGAAAATCATGCTTCACTACTGGGGCAAGCAAAAACACCACTGGGGTAAATGCCCCAGTAGTTATATAGTTAAAAAAATGTCCTGGTTCGACTCGAGTAACCGCTGCCACGCCATGGTTCATCATCAAAATGCCTGACTCCATGGTCCTAGCCAGTGCGCGTTTGAGAGGAAGTCGAATTCATAGAAAAAACCCAAGAAGTTCTGTGTAGTCTATTCTGTGACGGCGCGTTTAATTCATACAGCAGCACATTAATTTTTGCCAGTTAACAGAAGATAACTTCAACACGTCTTGGTATACGTATAAAGAAACTAACGGCAATACCTCTGCGGCAATACGCAATGAAAAGTAGTATAAAAACAAGGAAATTCAAAAACACAAACTTTCCGTTTAAACGGCCATTTATTGTGTAAGACTTTTTGCCCATGCCCCGCAAAATTCACTTCAACGTCTATTTACAACATATACACTCAACTGTAAAATTTAATTCAAATTTTCCTGCGAAAATGTATATATTTAGTTATTAAAATTTCACAGGATCAACTGAGACAATGTTTTTATCTTCGGCTGTTCATCCTTTTAAGACCCCAAAAGTTAAATGTTATATAATTAAGTATATATAATTTAATTCATTAATTACAAAAACATGATCATATGAAATTACAATCGCACTTATTAAAACTACATTCATATACCACGCATGTCATACTTTTACTCTTCAAATTTTGCGCAGACTAACCTAAAACAATTCATTTCTCAATGAAAACTTCTCCATGCAAGCAAAATAATATATACATATGTTTAAGATAGCTATACTCCTATAGACTATGTATATAACATTATAGGACATTAAAATTTGAAATGACCATAACTGGAACGCTACCTCCAACCGGAAATTTGAAGCCAAACTTGAAGGCCAGTCCCAGTCTTCTCACGCATGTGAAGGGCGCTCAACTAAGTCAGTCAATCATGAATGGTATAGGCGCAAATTTTTCGTACGTGCCCTGCCGTCAAATTATTACCTGCCATAAGGAAACACCGCCGTCTTTGTATTTGATTAAACGTTTGGGTAATATTGCACGTTCGAGCCTGTCAACGTTCAGCCCATGAGCAAAGTACTGAATTGCGAACCTCCAAGTTAAACAGTTTTGTATTTTATATCAATCTCGTACCCAGAGTATGCCCGTTCGCAGGTTAGATATTCTTTGGGGACCCCATGACTAGACCTTAGCTAGACTGCATGTGGAGCTAGCGTAAGGGGTCCCGAACGGGCATACTCTGGGTACGAGATTGATTTTATATCAGTAAGAACAGTTGACCCATTAGTCGCTTTTAACCGCCGCAGTGTACTATACAAAAACTACTCATTATATTACAAGCACATATAATTTATATTCCTCGCTTTTAACCTCGTCCCCAGGACATTTGGCCTTCAATGACCTTTAGCCCCCTAACTTTAGAGTCATCTCACATCTCCATTACGAGAATTTGAATCTCAGTCTAGAGACTCTAGAGAATTCGTAATTGAATATTTCATTGAATGAGTTCTTTTCAGTAAGATGCAGTAGCGAAGCTATAGTCATGGCAACTGGTCATGCTATGCTAACAAATCTGCATCTAAATAGGTTAAAGAAAATAAATTCGTAGAATGAGTTCTTCTCGGTAATTTGCAGACTTTCCATAAGTCCGCCCCGAACCTTTTTGCGTATTTTTTACAAGGCGGAAAGCGGAGAAAGATTCAAAGTTGAGAGCGGCGTGAGGAACCCAAGCGGATCCGCGCAAAATAAAGCGACGTCATTTAAAAAGTACTTTGCGAAAGTCTAAAGGCGGATTTGCGAAGCTCCTTGCAGCTCGCTGCGAGTGCACGCATGAGCACTTTCATCCAATCACTATGCTAAACAGCTAATTTTTATTAGATGCAAAAACTCGCAGCGAGCTGCGAAAAGTTTCGTGCGAGGACTGGAAATCCCCCTTTAAGTAAGCGGTTATCCCGAGTTGCAGCGAGTTGTTTCATGCGCGCGAAAACTGCCAAATCGAGCTGTCGTAGAAAGTTAAACGACGTACATGCAGTGGGAATAAACACGTAAAATATGACTTTATTCCAGTGATGTTTCATAACAGAAAACGGAACTAACTAGCGATGATGTTTTTGGATTTGAGGATCACATTTAGGATCCGCTTTACAATTATTAGTTGAAGATTCTTTCTGGACATTTTTGTTTCTGATTTGTTTCTAAAAACCAATCACAAAACATGATCATTTTAGGTAGGTTTTTACCCTAAAGATTATAGTGGAGATTTAACTATATATATCTTTTAACTATAGGTTAGGTATTTATATAGGGATTGGAAGTTTGCTTCTTTAGAAACCTGGCTATTATGCATGGGCTTCGATGATGAATTGCTGTACAAATGTGAAGTCAGAGAGATCATTAAACTAAAAACAACTTTTGTACTTGACGGTGACCGTTTTTGAAATAAGTTTGTATCATTTCACATGTGACATGACTGAGTATTTTCAAAATTTCAACCTCAGCTCGTATCCATGCTTTCTAATTTGCGTTCCAACACCACAAACAACTGGAAAAAACAAGGTTGTTTAAGTTTACCTCTGTTTAACCGCGAAAAACTTCAATCTCTGTTGGTGTGAAGTTTTCGCTGCCCGCCAGTAGAGCTTTGGTTTGTGGAGTGCCATATTGGTATCCTGGAGGTTGTTGGTATATTCGACCAAGGTTGCTGAATGAATGTTGGTTTGTGTTGGCTTCGTCACTGATGTGCAAATCACCATAAGAATAGTCACCAAAGGTTGCTCCCCAATCTTTACAACAAAAGATTGCTTGCTCATCGTGGTAATCATAAATTGGACATTTGAAAGGCGATAAATTGTCTTTATTTCGAAGAGAAAATAAAAAAGATTGTTCGGAGTGTTTGATTCTGACAATCCCTGAAAGAAAAATGGGAATTATGTTGATACTCGCCTGTAAAAGACGAATCGAGGAGAACTCGGGAATTTCATAAACATTTTGGGTTCAAAAAAATCATAGAAATTGAAATGTGCAAAAAGGAAAACTCATAGAAAAAGATATTAGCGCCGAAAATTTCAACTGATCTGCACAAAAATAATAAGAAAGTCACAATGATAGAATTACGTGTCGAATGTTAAACAAGTAAATATTTTTATTTTCTGCATCAAATTTACTATTCTTTATTTCATTTTTTTACATTTATATTGGATTTCCATATACCATAGCTTTTTAGCAACAATTATGGAACACGCTTTAAACACTTATACCAGTTTTGAAACATCTTAAAGCTAGTATTCAGTAACAGGTAAAGGCGAGCTGTGGTCCGTCAATCCTTCATGTGTCATGCGTCGGCACTATTTACTCCCACGCCTTAAATTTCCAGGAAAGAAAACATCTTTAGCGGAAAGAGTTGTGATAAACCCGTGTTTCGCCCATGTTTAGAAAAAAAAGCTAAGCTTACTATAGCTAGGTTTACCCATTTCACATGGATTAGTCCCCATTGATTAACATTATTACCCAATATTTATAGAAATATAGCAATTTAATGCGTTGCCTATATATTCACGTACTCCCTGTTGTCGGAATAAAACAAATTGTACTTTCGCATTCGTCGTCAACGTCCACTTTCCAGCTTCTATCAGTATAGCCACCAAAGACATTGGTTCCACATTTGACCAAGGTCACTGTAGGTCCTACATCATCACACTTTTTACGAAAATCCTCTCCTTTCCAACCATCACGTGAAGCTCGATAACAAAGTTGCCCACTAAACTTCTTATCCACCCAGTCTGCAAGTTGCTTCGCAAGCTTAATGTTACCATCCATGATATTTGAACATACAAGTAGTGATTGTATTTGTACAGAAGGTTCAACTAAAATAATAAAATAATTTTTAAAGATTTAAAGATTCTATCACCTTATAGTTGGAACAATATTGTGGAAATCCAATTTTCATACTAATTGCAATTTCCAGAATATGGATATAGTATAGAAATAATGTGGATATACGTTGGATATAGTGATACAAATATGATTCTATAGCATGCTGAATTTCGATTTCTTCCAGTGTAGTCTGACATGTAAATATCTTGTTATTAGCTTAACTATGTATTGATCAATGAATAATTAAGCTGAAGGGAATCAGCACGACTTTCTTTTTATAAACCGTGGTGGTCAACGCTCGTTAAAAAGACAACTGGCTTCATTAAGTTGAATAATAATTAAGTTAATGTGTAAATGAGATGACGTCACTATAGTAGGCTAAACATTTTCACAGTATTAAAGTATACAGGATTTCTATGACATAATTTCATAATTTTTCCATGCAAATCGTCAGTGTCATCATCGATACATACGTGTCTTAAGATGTATAGTCAAAAGATAAAGCAAACTTACCAATTTTCCCCAAATCGTTCAGGTCTACATAATTATCAACGACGTCCCTGCTTGATTTTTGCTGCAGGTATTTAAAATATCCATAATGAACTGGCAGCATAACCTTTGGACATTTCTTCTCGATACTGATGGCGTTCACCTCGATTGCATTTCCAAGCGAAAGGATTTCTTCATTGCTTCCTTTTTCGATGACATTCTGTGCAAACTCCAGTGATCCATTTACTTTCTCGATGTAGGCTTTCATCTCGTCGTGTTGTTTCACAATTTTTCGGTTCATCTCGTTGTGCTTTCCTTCCACTTCGACAATCAAGATTGCCGTGTTGCGTTTTAGCTTTTTGGTAAATTCTTCCAAGATTTCTTTTTCCTGTTGCAAAATGGCATCTTTAGCTTTTTTGGTGTTGGTTTGTAAATTTTGAGAAGCGTGTTTTATTTTCTGTAAAGCACTCTGACTTTCGTTAGATTTCATCCGCAAGATGGCGGAAGTTATCTTCAATTGTTCTTTATGCTGCTCCGCCACTACACCAGTAGGTTGACAGTCGTGTTCTGGTTTCGGATGATCTAGAACTACACAGGTCATACAAGCCAGTTCCTGACATGTATTGCAATAGAATTCAAGCGGTTTATTCGCATGGCCATCTTTGCGACACCGCGATTTTGCTTTCGCTTTCGCGTGGTTTTCAGGTTTTGCCAATTCCTCCAAAGTCAACACAACGTGGCCATCGAGCCATTTGTTGTGTCCTGTCAAGCAGTTCTTGCAAAGATAACTTTCACAATCGATACATCTGCAAACGGTAGGAACTTGACCGCTGCAAAATTCACAATGTAGCTGTAACGTTCGTTCCTGTATACTTAGCATTTCAAGTAGATTATTGATGAAAAAATTTGCCGGAAGTTGCTCAACGCTTTCCCCTTGAAACTGTGTCCTGCACAACGGACAGTTGAACGGATGTTCATAATCCTCGCCGGCTTCTTCTCGTTGACTTTTGACATGTTTTGCCAGACATTCTTTACAGAACGAATGATAGCAACCTAGTGTTCTAGGTTCTGTCAAAGTCTCTTTGCAAATCGAGCATATCAAAAGGTCTTCCAATTGTTTGCCGAGTGTAGTATCAGGAGCTGTAGCCATGTCTGGTTGCTTTGCATGCTCTAGATTAACAGTGGATTGATGTGTTATCTCCCCAAGTACTATTGAAGTTTTTATCGAAAATGTAAGTTCATCTTCGGAATTATTGTTAAATACCAAGAAATGTTTTGTTTGTACTCAGAATTCCTTCTGAATTTACATTTTCGAAGACCCCTGCCAGTAAAGACAAAGACAAGTGCTTTAATCTTATTATACAGTTGATGTTTTATATGCAATGTCTTAAAAGTGCATGGCTTTAATAACATTTGAAATTTTATTATTTGGAATATAAATTCTCTGAATATTGACGTGGTTAACAAAACACAAGATCCCTATGAAACAACAAAGTTGGATTTGCTCAATATTGAACAACATACTTTCAGCAGATGCTATAGTACTCAATAATTAATCAAGCTTGACAAAAAATTCCGGGAACGTAAACATTCAATTTAAGGAACAATCTAGCCAAACGCTAAAGCGTACCATATATTAGGAGCTCTAATCCAATAAACAAGCTTTCGTTGGTAGAGAATGCAACTACCTGAAAATCTAATAGCCTAATCTAATAGTTTTTTACATAATAGTTATAAGGTTTCAAGTTTAGATACATATATGCTGTTCGACCAGTAAGTCGGGTGCTGGTTAAATCATGATTTTATAAGTTAAGCGCATAGGACGATGTGCAGTAATAGTCTGCACGATGTTCAATAATAATCTGTATCTAGCTTTCTTTGCTTTTGTGTGCTGTATACAATCTATCCTGAACGTAGAGATATATTGGCACTCAATACATCGCCCATGCACCTTGAAATGGTCGCAACCGTTATGAACAAATGACTGAAACAGGGATATGGACCTTATATATAGCCTACGAAATATATAGCGAAGGAAAAAATTGTGATATATAGATTACATCGCGAGTCTGTCATGCCGGTGTGTGTCGAAAATTTTAGCTCTTAGACAAACAACACATGCAGGCTTCTTAGAGGTTTCTCAGAGGGGAAGCTTGAAATAGAAAGGCACATTTGAAGGTCTAAAAGACTTCGTTGAATCAAATCAAATATCGACAGCGAAATGGACCTCGCCTGGTGGTGGAACTAAGTTATGTGAAACTGAGAATTTGGCTATACGATGGTACTCTACAACTGGATCGATAACTTTAAAAGGGGAAAGAGCTTGTGATGTAAAAAATAAACTTCAATCGCCGAAAATGAGAAGGAAGCAAGTCAAAAGTCGAGTCAACGTGCAATTACTCACAATTTGCATACATCTTCGATCGATCTTACAACACCCCCTCCCATTGGACGAAACGAGGAAAGCGTTCATTCAAGCGGTCAATCAATCAATTCGCCGTTTGACGAGTTCAAAGCTACTATGGAGAGTTTTGTTATTTCAACCTCTACCAAATTTGACGCGTTAACATCAGAAATTGCGAACCTCAAACAACTCATACCGCCCGACCAATGTATTGCATCTCTTCAGGCTGAAATCGTTAACCTGAAGACCGAGAACAACGATCTTCGCGAAAGAAATACGAACATATCTTATATCATGTCCGATTTACGCACGAAAATTAAGGACGTTGAAAATGAAAAAAGAAGTCTTATTACTGCTCTTAATTAAACTGTTACAAGCTGATTCTAACTCTGACTTGGAAAAGCGTTGCCAAGATGAACCTGGTTTAGGCGACGAAACCATCCAAGCAAACTCACCATCTTCTGATCAACCACCCAACCAGCCAGATAATAAGGAGAAGCGCCGTAAAAAAAGGAAGAGTAAGAAATCTAAACCAAATGTGCCAGATTTAACTGCTGATCATTCTACGGACGTGGCTGCTGCTCCCTCTGAGGTCGCTGTTTCTGCCACATCTGAGACCGCCACTTCTGCCACCTCTGAGGCCACCGTTGGTCCAGATAGACCAGACTCGATGAGCCATCGCAAGAAAACTGTTGTCATCGCGGGTGATTCTATTGTTAAGAATATTGTTGGTGCAAAAATGAGTGGTAATGATTCTAAGCATTATTTCATCGTGAAACCATTCCCAGGAGCCACAATACTGATCAGACATGGAGGATTTCGTTAAACCACTAGCTGTCGAGGAGGTCGCCCGACAAGATGGTTCTACATGTGGGGACGAATGATCTAAGGAGCTGTACGCCGAGAGTTATCGCTGACTCAATTGTTAATCTTGTTACTCAAGTGAAAGAGGACTCGCCAAGCACATCAATTGGTGTATCTGCTATTGTGGTAAGAAATGATAATGACGATCTTGCTTTCAAAGCATTGCAAGCTAATATTATACTTAAGGAGTATTGTCTACGTAATGAAATACCCTTTTTAAATAATTCAAACATCAATACAAAGCACTTGAACTATAAAGGACTTCACCTGAACAAAGAAGGAACTTCGGTTTTGCAACAAAACTTATTAGGGTTTGTAAATACTATTTCTGATTGACTGAACCCTGATACTAGTATTAAGCCTGTCTTCCCTAATTTGCGGGGGTTTAAGATGGCAGCACTTAATGTGAGAAGTCTAATTGGCCACATTGATGAACTGCGGGTTTTGCTTGCCACTAACCCGATTGATGTTTTGGCTATAAACGAGTCTTGGCTTGATGCTAGTATACACGATAATGAGTTACACATTTCTGACTATGAAATCGTACGGCGTGACAGGTCTATGTGTAGTGCTAATGGAAAACATATGGGGGCGTTTGCTTCTATGTGCGCTCTAGCATAAATTTCTCGCCTCGCCTGGATCTGTCTAGCCATCAACTAGAAAATTTGTGCATTGAAATTCGAAAACCTAGTTCTAAGCCATTCATTGTTTCGACCTGGTACAGGCCGCCTGATTTTACCAACGATAAATTTTCTTATTTCGAGTCGTTTATTGGTAGGCTTGATTCAGAAAATGTCGAATATTATCTTTTAAGCGATCTAAATTGCGACCCTGACGTTTGCTTTGCCTGTACTCAGTTATGTAGCTCTATACGAAATGCATAATTTTGACTGATATAACTGATATAGAACAAAGAGATAACGGTATAGAAACCGGTAGAAAGATAGCAAAACTGTGTATAATGTTACGTCAAGGAATATATATGGACAATATGTAACGGGCAAGGTCATTAATTATAAAGCTGTAGGGTTTAAAATACAGTAAGTTAAGGTATTTTTACTGTGAGAACATATCCGAGCGGAATTTTAATTATTGTCTAAACTCTAAAGTGTCATAGACGCAAGTGGATGATGTTAACAAGGGTATATTATACCTTTATATAAAAGGGACAATACATGCAATTTGTATTACAATTATTACAAATATCTACATTGTTAGCAAATTATGTAGCTATTTTACACTATATGGACTATCGCTAAATTACATTGCAGTATATCTAATATCGAGCCGTTAAATCGCAGTGTCCACTGGAAAAAATGTGAAATCCATAACATGAGATTTGCAATTGCGCCACTAATCAGTCCATGCATAGTATATCCATACTATTTCGATACTCTATCTATAGAAAATAATGTTAAATGTTTTTCTGTAGTTTGTCAAGCGATAATAGTACACAAAGGAATTTATGACAAAATTGGAATGAAACAAAAAATAAAAGCACATATGAACATGTTCTTTGATAGTGTTATCGTAACCGTGATTATTGTTGACTAAATCAAATATCAACAGCGGTGAAAGTGTCAAGACAAAAAGAAAAGTGATATACATTATTGTATGAAGAAAACGTTTTTGCTTATAAAGGCTTCGCTTTCGTGTTTCCGTTGTCGTTTCTCGTTTGTTCCATGATGCGTTTCCACATTGTGAATCGAAATATTTCGCCTCGTTCTTCACATGATAAATCATTTTAATATAAAGCAAGCACGAACAGAGTATCATAACAATGGCACCCAAAAGTCGAAAACCGGCGACAAAGTTTTCGAGATCGTTTTTGAAAGCTATATTCACAAATGCGAACAGCCACTGAAAAATTATAACCGCCATTGCCTGCTTCTCATTCGTAAATACTCGGTATTTGAAAGGATAACAAACGATAAAACAGCGGTCCAATGCTAGGAAGAAAATACTCAGAAATGAAATATAAAGAGGAGCCGAGAATAAACGAGAGACAATGAATCTATCAGTACATGTCCGCCAATAATACTTCACAAACTTACAAAAGGTCGGAGAACGTATTATTCATTATAAGATACGATGAACAATTTCTGAACCGTCTTAGAGGATCTTTTACCTTTTACCATAGATCAGTATTGAGTTACACAAAATTCCAGCCAAAAGTGAAAGTTGACAGCAAATAGCATAGGCCTTGTTATCAGAATGTGGGTTTAATAAACAAGTTTTAGTTATATTTATATTCATTTTAGGTTTTAATAAAACGAGTGTGTGCTGAACACCTCTAAGCCGAAGTAAACAAATAAATCATTGCTTCTTTGACTTTTTAATCGAAATCGTGGTTGATTAAGATCTAATGCAATATAGATAGCCCGATGACAAGTTATTAATTTTATATCTTGCTGTGAAGCTGTTAAATAAACTAAACAGGAATAGATTCTGGACTATTAACTGCACAGTATAGAAATATAATAAATAAATAGGACCACATGCATGCAGGCTTAAAAAATGAGTATTTTAAATTATTCGTCTGAACAAAATAGAGCGAAGACCAGAACCGTCAAAACGAACTATCTGGGTATAGTCCATCTTCTGCGACGATGTATTGGTTTAATCTAAAATTAAACCACAAATGCCTCGCAAAACGTTTCAAAATGTTCATAAAACAAAACTGCCTTTTAGGGACCGGTCATTATTTATGGCGGGGGGTGGCACCGAAGAGAAATGTTTTTCGTAGCAAAAATTTTGCTGACCCAACCATTAAAAAGTAAACAAAATTGAACCTCAAATAATAAATACCCACCCCTGGCCAAAAAATTTACAAAAGGTACTATTCAGTTGTCACATATGTCCTTTACCACTTCTGTGACATAAGTTTGATAATGGATTGTGAAATTTTCTGCAGTCTGAAGTTTCATGTTGTCTGCACATGTAGCTACTTTCTTTGGAGATCCCATCGGAAATTGATCAAGATAATGACTCTGATTGATATATACTTTTCGTTGTTTCTTTACACATTTAGTAAATCTTAGTATAACACCAAGTTCATCAATTGCTGCTATTTTGCTAGCAAATCCATGTATAATAAACCCGGGTGTTTTGCAATCAAAAGTGATGCAACCTGGATAGTGGAATAAGTTGATTACTGTAGGCACAATTTTTGGCCACTTAATAGTCAAAGGTCATGCATAAATAAGAACAGTCTTTAATATTACCGCCTTACAGAGACTTTATATTAATTGTGCTACTCTAGGATCTAGAAGGTCCTAGAAGAACCATAGGTCCCATACTCGACTAGCAACATAATCAAGTTAGTTATGTTAATTCATTATATATAGGATCAATGTTAAAGGCAAGGTGGGCTATAAGCTATAATCATTTGTATGGCTTATAGAAGGCTAATTGCCGTGAATAAATTGAATAATGAATGTAGCACAATATTAAATAGTTGCATGATGACGTCAAAGAAACTAGTCAGACTACATTTGCAAGTTTTGCAACTCTCATCGCTTAAATTCCCCATACCTGAATACAAAATAAACAGTAAACAACGATTACCTTTTACATACCATATATAAAACGGAGTTTTCATCCTTTCTAGAAACTCACTTCCTGAACTTTTGAGCGCAAATGTAATGTATTAAAAATGTATATCATATTCACAGCGGTTAATACCATTAATATATCGCGGGCGCAATACAAAACAAAACACGAGAATTTTAAAATGTTTTGATTTGCAAATAAATAAATAATATTTGATGTCATAAAAAATTTTAAATTTAACTCAACACAAACTGGTAAGTTCATGACATGTATAATTTACTTATATGTTGTTATATTGCAATTCTGTACCCTACTCCTTTGAAAATTGTTTGCAATTGCATATGATGTGAACATGTGGTCATGTATTATAGTTGTGTCATGGATTTAATAATACCCCAATGGCTTCGAAATAGACAATGGATGGAAAAAGTCATGAATATTGAACTTATTTACCCTTTAAACATTTGATCGTCATGCGCATACAGTGTATTGTTTGTTTCCAGAACCCCCTCAAGCAGACTTCAACTTTTTTTGTTAAATTGTATATTTTGCTTCATACACTGCATGTGTGTGTGTTTGTGGGAACACTCATGTTTGGATGCTTGGCGTAGGTTAATGGTAATTTCATTGGAGTCATCAGGGATATAGTTGTATATTCCTGAAATTACCCTCTAAACACCTAAAACAGCATTCCCTAAAATTTTAATTGTTTTCTTACATTGCCCTATATCGCTCAAACTCGTATTGCTTAAATTGCAGATTTTGCTTAAATCACCTAAATTTGCTTAAACTTGCATTATCTCGTTATCGCCCCAGAGTAGGGCCTACTGTTGCCATTGCTTTTTAGTCCCCAATACTTCAGTGAGTCATGCTTTGGAAATGACAATATTTTTTTATTACCCAACCCTTGAGTTGTTTTGTTTTTCATTTACCCAACCTTTTACTTACTCAAAATTTAGTTTACCCAAC